GTACATAACCTAACTTATATATTAGATTGGATTCTTAATGGATATCAGGTGCAGGTTCTGGCAATGGGCTCCACTTACTATCAGGTCGACTTTATGCTCACTTGCATCTATTAATTACAATTATTTAAAAAAAATTTGAATCCCGCAGTATTTGACTTACACAAAACAAAAAATATTTTTAAACTGAAACAAGGAATTGGCCCCTCGCTTTTCTTCTCTCTCTCTCTCTCTCTCTCTCTCTCTCTCTCTCCACCACACACACACACACACACACACACACACACACACACACACACACACACACACACACACAATGTGGGTTAAAGACACGTTGCGAATTTATGCCATTCCTTTGGTGTGTACATTACAAAAGATAAAGCAAGGCATTTGCTTTGAATACGTGGAATTTGACAACAAAAGAGTTTTTTTAACGTCGATATAATTACTAACTTTAATTACTATTATAATGAGGATAGTAGTTTTTTTATTACTTTTTTTAATTTTATTTTAGTAGAAATATGTCCAAAACGGCCCAGTAGTATAAGGCACTAACAGAATATCAGTCATAAAAGCTACTTTGTTCAAAATTTGTTGACACCAAAAACATGCACTATATAGTAAAATATCACTATGATCAAAAATCTAATATGTGTTGCAATTAAACAAATGAGTGGACAGTTTGAACAGGAGTACGAAAACTTCAAAAAAGCATCTTAAAACGCAGTCACTCAAGTGCAGTTTTACCTACAATATTCCATTACAGCCTACAAAAGTCCACAGCTGAACATAGGTTTCTCCCATATATTATCTTAATGGGGGGATTTTGTCATAGTTGCCATACTCGGCTGGCGGGTTAGCAACCGCATGTTTTATTAGTTTGAGTTATTATCAGGAATATGCTGCTGCTCATCTTCCGTTTAACTTCCCCCTGTCGCCTTTTACGATACCCAAAGTACACCTACAGTTTTGCCTATAGTAGCAGCAGAGACAAATTAGCAATTACATTGATGTGTTCTGGTCTCCCCTTACAAACATCGGACATCAGTGTCTACACCATTTTCTGTCTATTTCCCACATATTTGAATCAAACGGTTTGCTTCGTCTTTCATAATGCATAAGAATAATGAATGAAATTATTATCCAAGTAGACAAAAGTTTTTGCATTTACATTATAGCGTTCTGTAACTCAAAGATATTGGGATTTAATGTATAGGGTTTCATGACCACCATGCGCAAAATTACTATGTAAAAAAGCTCTTAGAAATCTAAACAAGTTATCTGAAGTGAAATACAATTCGTTTGCCATTGTAACTGGTGAAACTGGTCAAATTGATATTTTAAACTTGAATTCTTTATTTCTTCTTACTAATCAATCACTATCGATATATTTTCTAAAGCATAAAATGACTTGACGAAAACTCAAGAAGGATTTGTTATTTCTTGAAGACATTTTATGAGGCGTGAGATATTTTATGTTGTCGTAAAATAAACTGCGGAAATTTTACGAGTAAAAATAGGATTCCCTAATCAGATATTCATAATATCTGGTTCAGTCTTCATATTTTACTCGTTATGAAGTTTTGTCATAGGATGATGTTAATTATTTTTCGCAAGAATTACTGATCTGCTTGATGAGAATGACAGATGCAGAGAATTTTTAAATATAACCAGCATTTACTAGTTACATTATGTCAAAGGATTTTTTTGAGTATGATGGAGTTCCTTTAGATTAAAAAGTTTTCTGGATCTCGTAATGCTCCAAAATTCAATTTTTACTTGATGAAATACTTTTAATTTGTAGTTAGACTTTTTTCTGCTAAGAAATGTGTCGGGGTAGGTACCATCACTTACCAATTTCTGCTATCAAGTAGAAGTGCTTGCACTATTGTGTTCTGTCCTGAAGGTAAAGAGAGCCAGTGAAATCACAGGGTGACGCTAATACGAAAATATAAAATTATGTGTTCTACTAAGTGTTAAGAGCACCTCTAGCCCTCCTTCACTTGCGTGAACTATCCCTATTATTATTAATCCCAACACAACTACTCGTAGCAACATTACACTAAAATATTACACCATCTTCAATACAGTCGTATTAATCACAAGATTTTCATCCTATTCATCTCGTCTCTGGCCGTTTGGTCACCGCAGTCTATTTTACCTCATTATGTCCCGTTTACTCGTAGAGAAGAAACTCGTGTCATTTGATGATTATGGTATTTATTTCCTAGTATATAGGTGTTGCGTGTATTGATTTATTTTTTATTTATTACTCAATTATCACATCATTACAGTTATTAAACCAACGCGATGCTAACCCAAATATAAGAAAACTATTGAATAATAAATATTGACATCTAATATGAATTTTATCAACATGATTGCAAATTATAATACTAATTTAAAAAATTACAATTTTCAACGCATTTGTATGCTGCAATTATGAATTTCGTCTCACTACATGTAAATATGTCAATATCCTGTGAGATGTGAGACAATGTGGCATTCAGAAGCAACTTCGTCCTAGCAGCGGGCACGAGGAGTAACGGGGGACGACGACGAGAACACACGTAATTATTCGACACCCGCAGCTTTAACGCAGCGAGTACGTGTGATATATCCATCCACGTAATACTTTAATAAGCGTGATGTCTCTACTCACACCTACCACACCCAATACAAACAGACTCGGGTACATCAGTGGAAAACAAGGATAGATTCCGTATTGCTCAATATATATATAAAAATCGTGTAAATTTATTTTGAATTATTTCTATTTATATTTTCTATCTATACTTGCTTTCATGTGGATTCCAAATACTTGCGTTCGTGTCAAGTTGACTTCTTGCGAGAGCATTATATAAAATTCTAAAAGTAAATAAATTCTGAAATCCCTACACTGCCTAATATTTTAAATGTGCTTACGAAAATTAAGTTCCAGGACTTGTGTAACGCGCTGGAATACGAGGTTTATGAGGGTCTTTTATACGACCATAACTCATGATACAACATTTATCAACATTGAAATTCAATTTGTTATCTATATAGTATATATAGTATAGTAGTAAATAGTATGTATAGTAGTGAATAGTAAAACACTGTGTCTCTTCAACGACCGTAGGAAAATCATTAACCATTAACATAAATAATAAAGGGCCAAGATTGCTTCCTTGACTCGCTCCAGAATAATTACAATACAGTTGCAGTTAAAAGCTTGCGAAATCTACGTATTGCTTACGTCTACTCAGATAACTCGCAAAGAAATCTAGTAAGCTACGTGTAAAACCTAGCTCAGCAAACTTTACCAACAAGATATCATTATCAACGGTATCGAAGGCTTTTCGAGCATAGAAATATGTGGTGTTCACCTAGCTCCCAGCATCCACTACTGGCACCACATAATTTATAAATGATATTAAATTACTTACAGTACTTCGACCTGGCCGAAAACCATGCTGAGCTTCGGTAAGCTGCGAGTTCATTTGATTATAAACATAATTATAAATAATCAACTCAAATACCTTAGCGATTGCAGACAATACAGCTACTGGTCGATATTTATCCACCTTGGAACCCGATCTCCTATCAACACAGGAATCACTCGGGACACTTTCCATACGTTCGCATAGAAAGCTTTTTTAGACACAAGTGCAAAATATGTAAGAGAGGCAATTCAAACACCACACGGCAGTCTTTTAAAATGAACGTTGGTATATCATCTCTATCAACGGATTTTTTGGGCTTAAAGACGTGTGAGAGTGCCTCGAATATCTCACATGTTTATCTGCCCGATATGAACGCGAGTTAAACTGAGTTCAATTAAGTTTTGATTGTTTACTTCTATCAAAATCCAAAAAAGCTTTTGAATCCTCTTTTATATTATTTTGCACTCTATATTAATATGAGGTATATTAATGTAGAGTACAAAATAATATAAAAGAGGATTCAAAAGCTTTTTCGGTGAGCACATCTTATTTGAATTTTAACTACCACACGATAAAATGAAAATGATTCCGTCCGAGATCCCGTTATTTTAAATAATTTATGATATTTGCATTTAAGCCTTATATCTAATATTAAATCAGCCGCTATACCAATCAGGGTAAATTTACTTCGCATTATGATTCAATTTTTTGTCCAAGGCACACATTTACTAATCTCATTATTTACAGTGTCATAAAAATAATACAAAGAGAATTTGGCATCCTTTAGTAGATATAAACAAATCCTTAATAAATAATATAATTTGAAAAAGTCATTTTTCCTGAAATTCCAACTAGAGCTTTCAATTATTACATTATTATCACTAGGATTATTATCAGTTATACTGAGAGGGTATCGCCCAATTCTCGCGTCCGCTGTCGTGATTTTATGGTCAGAGGCAGGTGCTGTTCATCAATATCAACAAAAGATTTATCAGTTATATTAAAAGGGGATCACCCACTCTTCGCGTCCACTGTCGTGATTTACGGTCAGAGGTGGATACTGCTCATCAATATTAACAAAATACTCACCAGACAGCGATACTTCCACGTCACTTACCGGAAAAGTTGTTAACCCAACACTGAATTCAGCCCGATAAGTGGGTCAACCAATAAAATTGATATTTTTTCTGATTTGAACCAAGTAGTGACGTCTATGATTACGGAAATAAATTAACAACAATCATTGGCACCCATTTAGTGTATTCTTTGAAATTAGATGGCAGCGCTATCTCTCTCAATCAATCATTCAATTGAAAATTTTGAACGTTAGCCTCGCGCCGTGCGTATTCAATTTGCAAAAATAATAAATAATTGTTGTTTACGGAATGCAACAGTGGATAAATTATTTTTATGTCGAAATATCTGTGAACTAAACAAATGTAAGTATATTTTTCTGATTTGGTCGTGTTTTGATACTAAATTTTCACAATTTCTGTATGTTCCCAATGTGTCACTTCATGTAGTGATGGTCTAATTTTAGATATGTTGACCAATGGTGTGATGTTTTCTTTTTAGATAATGGCGAAGAAAACATTATCCAGCGCTCAAATCCAAAATTATTTGACAATACCATTAGGTATTGAAGATGAACAAGACTCCTCAGGTGCTGAAAGTGACGATGACATTGCCGTAATTCGATCTTCCGTCAACAAACTTTGTGAAACGTTTAGCGATACGGATGACGAAGAGGAATCTGTTTCACTGAATAGGTATGAATCCGCTTCACCATTATCAGGGTCCTGTGGCAGTGATATGCAGCAGCATATATCAAATCCTAGTAGTACAATTCCTGATGTCCCAAGTACATCTAGATCAAATGCTTCGCGAACACATCAATCGACAGTTGTATCTTCCGAGTCTACTATGCCAAAAGACGCTGCTCCTACTCCTGCTGCATCCGTCTTCAGAAAAAAGCGAAATATCATTTGGAAAAAAACAACTTTCCATCCAACAAACCGTGAGTTTTGTGGGCAAACCGATCTAGAGCCACCGATTACTTTTTATTATATTTATTGATACTCCTACATTGATACTGATAATATACTTATTGAAACTCCTTTGCAATATTTCTTGTACTTCTTTGATGACGATTTTCTAAGTCATATCGTAGAAGAAATGCATAAGTTTAGTGTACAGAAAAGCCTTTTTCTACAAGCGTTACAGAGCTGAAAAAGTACATAGGTATCTGTCTGCTCATGGGTATTGCCCCACTGCCGCATACTCGAATGTACTGGGAAACTGAATTAGGTTTGCCATTATTAAGAAATACAATGTCGGTAAACCAGTTTGAAAAAAATTGTCAATATCTACACTTCAATAACAATGCTACTCAGTCACAAGCAGGCACTGCAACACACGATCGTCTCCATAAAATCAGACCTGTGTTAGAAACCCTAAAAAAAATGTCAAGCTATACCCAAACGCGAAGCATTGTCAGTCGATGAGCAGATGTGCACTATTAAGAGGTATAAACTGTTGGTGCTATGTGATGATCGAGGATTTGCTTACGACTTTGAAATATACTCTAGAATGGAGAATAACGCTGATCTGAGGCGTCCTAATGAGCCTGATATAGGCGCAAGTGCCAACATTGTTATCCGGCTTGCAAGAGTCCCAGGGATAAAAATTACAAATTATTCTTTGATAACTACTACACATGCCCTGAATTGATTACATATTTTGCCAATGAAGAAATATATGCTATGAGAACCGTGAACAAGGGACGACTAGGCAAAACTATACAAATACCATCAATGAAAGATCTAAAAAGTAGCAAGAAGGAAAGAGGATATTCAGAGGAATGGGTAGGCAATGTAAATGGCACAGATATCGTCACAGTTATGTGGTATGACAATAAACCAGTGGTGTTGACTTCATCTTTTGTTGAAAAAGAGCCTACTCAAAAAGTAAGGAGGTTTTGTTAAAAACAAAAGAAATATATAGATATCGATTTTACTTAAATTGTTCGCAACTACAATCAGCATATGGGTGGAGTTGACTTGTTCGACTCATTCCTGGGAAAGTACAAAATAAAGATGAGGACAAAGAAGTGGTATTTGAGACTGTTTTACCATTTCCTCGACATAGTTACCATAAATAGTTGGTTGTTATATAGAAGAGTTGGGGAGATGCGACAAAGAGCTACGCCGCTGAAGTTGAAAGACTTCAAGTTTGAAGTGGCGAAGAGCCTCTTTATGTGTGGTTCATCAATAAATAAGAAAAAAGACTGACCGTCTTCTGCAAGTAATGATCTGATAGAGGCATAAGGAATGAGAGCTAATGTAGCGATTCTTCCTACTCGTGACGTCAGGTGTGATGGAGTCGAGCACTTTCCTCTATGGGGACAGAAGCGCCAGTGATGCAAGAATCGAGAAAGGAAAGTCGTTTGTTGTGTGTGAAAAATGTAGAGTCGAACTTTGTTTAAACAAGGATAAAAATTGCTTCCGCTTGTTTCACCTCTAGATCAAATTTAGGTAGGTCACTGCATAATGTGTCACATATGGAACTACGAGTAAATAAAAAAACATTTTTCTCTATTACTATTAGTTTTTTTTTTCAATTTACCTGTGTTTCCCGTGTTCTGGACCACAAACATGAACTGGTAAGATTTTTTTTTCAAAAAAAAAATGATCATGCAGTGTAGGGTTAACACCAAATCGAGAATGCGATTGTTTACATTAAACAATTCATTTACTTGACTAAATGCACAATATGCTGCAACATACCTAAAATAGTTTTGTATTTCTAAAGTCAAAGAAGGCATGTTACAATGATGGTTATGGATATTTGAATTGACTAGAGGTGCTCTTAAAAATAGGTAAGCCACATCAATTTATAGTTTTTTAATACTTGGATCATAGCTTATTAATTATTTTTTACACATAATGATAAAAATATGATAAATAAAATGTAAAAAATTAACCATAGCTATTTAATACGTTTTTAAACCCAAATTTTAGTGATTTTCTCAATGGAACTCCTGCTTCTAACGGTTAAATGTGTGATTTACTTTATCGTAAGGTAGCGGTATGAGGGAATCCATCACTTTATTTCTTTACGTAGTTGTAGAAGAATGCAATTACGGAAAATGCCAGAAAAATCTCCACAACTTCCGATAGATTGCGCTTTAACCATCTCATTTATGCTAGATATAATATATTCAGATCGACGACGTACATTAGCAACAATAGTGCTCCCTTCACGCTCTGAAATCGTCCATTCGTCTTCTTAGAGTGACCATCAAATCGAATTTTGCCATCGGAAACTGCTTATATTAAGCAATAGTGATAATGAATACTACTATGACTACAGCATTAGTTGTCCAGCATTACTGTGCACTAGTTTGTGAAAATCACTTATATATAAACACATTTTTGATTATTCAAGATATTTTAATCAATTTAATACAATATCATAAAACAAGAGCTTCGTTAACAGTGCTTATTCAGAGTAAATACTGGAACTAAAATACAGACTATAAAATTTATCCTCGGAAGAGTGTCCGCTTGACTGTCTCTAGATGCATTAAAGTAATTTCAAATGCAAAATAGTTTCTCTTTTGTAATCACGTTTCCAGAATTAATCTCAAAATGACATCCTTGCGTGCTTGAATAAAATATTAAATGTACAGTGGTGTTGCTTAAACTGTCCATATCCATAAACACTCACGCCTGTCACCCAGAGGGGTAGGCAGAGACTACAGATTTCCATTTGGCAAGATCCTGACACACCTCTCTCGCCTCCTTCACATCCATACACCTACGCATACATGCTCGTCGGTTAAGGGTACTCCTAATTTGGCCCGTTTCCAATAAATCGCCAATTTGGTCGATAAATATTCACCTAGGACGTCCCTTTCCGACTCTGCCATTCACTTCTGCAACATAAATTTTCTTTGTCACTCTTTCCTCATTCATTCTTTCCACATGACCAAACCACCGAAGCATTCCTTTCCTAATCCTGGTCACAACATCATCTTGCAAACCACACTCTTCTCTTATTACACAATTTCTTACCCTTTCATTCAGATTCAGCCCTAACATACTCCTTAACGACCGCATTTCTACTGCGTTTATTCTACTCTCGTGCTTCTTCTGCCACACCCCACTTTCACTACCATACGTCAAAGTAGGGACCAACACAGCATTGTGAATTGCCATACTTGCCTTTTTCGACACATTTTGACTCTTCACAATAGAGTGCAAGGCCCCATTTACTCTATTTCCCGCATTCACTCGTCGTTCTATATCCTTATCATACCTCCCATCCCTGCTAAATATGCAGCCCAAATATACAAACTCATCTACTTGCTCGATCAACTCCCCTTCTATTCTTATTACACAAATCGTTTTACTTTCTTCTCTTTCAAAAACCATAACCTTCGTCTTACTTGCGTTCACTTTCACACCCCTTTCTTTTAATGATCCGTTCATTAATGTAACCATCATTTGCAACTCGGCCGCCGACGATGCAAGAATGACTTGATCATCGGCGTACAAAAGGCATTTGACGGTTCACTCACCCATTCTTAATCCGCATTCTTCAACTTTCAAATTTTGCAAACAACTGTCCATAAATAGGGTGAACAGCCACGGGGAAGCCACACAGCCCTATCTGACACCTTTATGGATGTCAAACCAGTCCGAGTAGACCCCGTTGATCCTAACACAAGCACTAGAGTCCCTATAAAGAGACTCCAATGACTGTATCAAGCCAACGCTCAACCCAAATGAGTTCAGTGTTTGCCATAGCAAATCCCTATCCACTATCCAGTCATAGGCCTTTTCCAAGTCCATGAACGCACAAAAAACCTTTTGGTTTTTTGTGCGTTCATGGACTTGGAAAGTTTTGGCCAGAAACTTCTCCGCGATCATGCGCATGGAAAAAACTTGATCTGTACATCCCATTCCCTTTCTAAATCCCGCTTGCACATCCCAAATTTTTCCATCAGTTTCTTTCAAGGGTCAATCAGTACCTTAGCGAACAGTTTTCCCACAATGCTAAGAAGGCTGATGCTACGGTAGTTTTTACAGTCCTGCTGCGACCCTTTTCCTTTATATACTGGAACTATCACGGCTTTGCACTAGTCTACCGGTACCCGCTTCAGATCCCAGCATAAATTAAACAAGGTGTGCAGCAGGCCTGCCACCACCTCCTCTCCAGCCCTTAGCATTTCGAGTGAAACTCTATTATATTCGTGCGCCTTACCCGCTTTCATGCTTTTCATTGCTTTCATTATTTCATCTATACTTATCTCGCTACCTCTTACCTCTTCTTTCGGAGTTTCTACTTCACTTAGTACACATGTTGTCTCCTCACTCATAAATACGCTTTCAAAATATTCCTTCCATCTCTTTAAACTCAAAACTTCATCATTCAGAATATAGCCATTCTCGTCTCTTATAGCATTCATCATAGGCTGTTTAATTTAATATATATAATAAATTAGGCTGCTTAAAAATATATATAATAAATTTGAATTTAATAATTTTCTTTCATTAACATATTATTATGGATTTGATCTATCAATAAATACTACTAATATAAAGTAAACTTCCCGTTTAAAAAAATAAAAAAATAAGTTTGAACTAAATAAATTAATTAACTAAAAACTATCGAAATACGCACCCAACTTTATGTTTAATAAAACAATGAATTGGTTACGCACATAGGTCGCGAAAGGACAAGGACAAAGGGACTTGTCCTTACGCAGGATAGCAGGCGCAAAACATTTTATTCCAGTTACCTATGATTGCTACAACGTGACGTCGTATTGTTTACGTTTCCGCGTGTATATCGGACGCCCGCTAATAGTTATTGTAAACATGTACCAATACTCTAATAGTAAATAGCAATGTTGAGATGTTATATCTTGTCTAATTTTGTATGAAGAAGTTTCGTAAGTGAAGAAGTTCTGTAATGCCACAAAATATCGAAGTCGATATTTTGTGGCATTACAGAATCAATATGAAATTTTCTATCCTTTAGTGTAATAAAAATTCAAGTTATCCTATGGATATTTATTTATAATCTACGTTCATTTCGTACGCCATTTTCGCATGAATGTTATTGTGTTGGTTTTAGCATTTTTCTAGTGTTTTATTTGTGTTTTAGTATAGTGTTTTATTATAAGATTGTAATGAAATTTTTGTGTGAATATAATTCATCTTTTAACGTAAATAATTTCGAGTAATATATATTGAAATAATAGAGATTTCTCAAGCGGCCGACAATCGCTTGGTATGTTTGGTTTTTTTTATCCAAGTAAAATAGTCTTTTTGTAATGAAGTAATACCTGACTTTTATATATAGAATTTTGTATAGATTTTATAATACCAAACCTTTTCATAGAAAAGTAGTCCCTAAATATAAGTTTTAATGGTTTTAAATGCTGCTGGTGGCGACCGCTCGTCATTTGCCGGGCGCATGCGACTGAATGAGGTTTGATTGGGATTGAGGGGTTAAAAAGCTGAAGGTGTTCTGGATTAACACTGACATCAGGACGTCAGTCACCTCATTCCCCAGCGACCATGGGTACTGGATAGCACCCAAAACTTCAGGAATTAAAAATCAAGTAAATTTAACTTTTAATTTAACTAATCAAAAAATTACAAGTTATAACTTTAAACTTTTAAATGTATACTTTTTGTGACGCTATTGTGAATATTTCAGATCCCTTTATCTAGTCTATAAGTAAAGTTTGATACTGTCTGATTAAATAATGCCCCGACTTGCTGAGATCGGAACTTTCTCAGGTGAAGAAATCTCTTTGTTGCGAATCGTTCGTTAAATTGAATACGTTCTCCGGTTTTAATAAAGAAGAAGAATATCGAAGCAATAACGGATACTAGCCATCTGCGCTGGACTGGATTATAATGTCAATAGTGTTTGCGAATACAGATGCACTCTCCTTTATTTCACGATT